CCAGGTGTGGCTGCCCCAGGTGTGGCTGTGCCCAGGTACCAGCCCTGGCAGCCCTTACCCGCACGATGATGCCCATGCGCTTGCTCTCGTAGGTGAAGGGGAAGATCTGCAGGATGGTGAAGTTGAGGATGTGCCCCCCTGGGCTCCTCAGCTGCACTGAGGACTGGTCTCTGCCCACCAGGGTCAGGCCCACGCTCTCTGTCCACTGCACCAGGGCCACCTGAGAGGAGAAGGGCACGGTGAGGGCTCCTGCCACAGCTCCCGAGGGGAGGGCTAGCAGGTGGCTGCAGAGAACTCACCAGTCATTAATTCACCAGTCATTAATTCACCAGTCACTAGCAGTGCTATCAAACACATCCACTGACAAACACAGGTGCTCCTCCATGGCTTTCCCAGTGGCTTTTTCCTGATTTAATCCCCAATTTTCCCTTCCTGTCAGGCTTTGGGCAGCCCAGCCCGTGTCTGATGTGTGTGGCACTGTCCATGTGTCCGTGGTCACCTTCTGCCTTTGACAGCCATGTTCCACTGGACACCAGGAATCTCCCCATGGAAAGGGTGCTCAGGCCTTGGCAGGGGCTGCCCAGGGAGGTTTGGAGTGCCCATCCCTGGAGGTGTCCCAGGAATTCCTGGAGGTGGCACTCAGAGCTCTGGGCTGGGCACAAGGTGGGCACTGGGCAGAGTTTGGACACAATGGGCTGGGAGAGCTTTTCCAATCTAAATGACTCCATCATTTCATTCCAAAGGACAGCCCTCAGCAAGGGGCAGGCACTGCAATCCTCCACCCAGCCCTAGGGTGCCCAAACCTCGTGGGCACATCATGGAAACCCCTTTACAAACACTTACTTTTGGAAAGAGCTATTTCCCAGCTTGCTGTCTATGAAATTAAGAATTCAAAACAACACATTCACTCTGGATTTACAATTTCAAAGCCAGAGACACTAATGCAGCACATTAAAAATTCATATTAAAAAAACCCAAACAAAATGAGCTCTGTGGTATTCTCTGTGTATTCAGCAGTAACAGCTCATCAACAAATTTCAACAATTTTGCAGTGATCAGCAAGACAGCTGAAGGCTGGCTCAGGCACTTCTTAGCAGAGAACCCTTCTCCCTACACATTAAAAAATCAAAAAAAAAACCCACCCCCAAAAAAACCCCAGACTGGTTAAGGTTTAACTGAACTGAGGTGGGCATCATTTTGATTGCAGCCTCTACTATTTCAGGGCCTAAAAATCTGAGTTATCTGCAAGCTTTCGCTCAATTGCAACCAGACCAAAGCCTTTATTTGGCTTCCCCCAGAGTGCCCAGCTCAGCTGACACATCCATCTCAGCCTGAGCTTGCTGAGATTTAGCTCCAGAAGCTGTCTGGGCAGTAACAGATGGAGCAGCAGCTGACACGAGCCCATCTATCACTGGCCCCCAGAAAGGATCAAGGGATACTTTCCCTAAACAGACATGAAATACTGGAAGTGTTTTACAGTGACATTTTCAAAGGCACAAGAGTGCTGGGCACATGGTTGCTGTCGACTTGAAGGTTAATTATCCCTTCTGCCTTTCAGGTTCTGCCTCTACTGCCTCAAGCGACCACAAATACCTCAGTTAAAAATGGAATTGATTTTGGAAAATCCCATACCAGAGATACAAATGAAATCAGAACCTGTAAATACTTGCACTGAGTTGAGATTTTTATTAATGAATTGATACATTTGGGACTAACTGAAGAAGCTTTTGTGAACTCGGCTCCTTTTCATCCAAAAGCTTAAAAGAGAACCCTAAACCAAACTTTTCCTTTCATAAAGCAGTCTTAAATTGTCAGATTAAAAAAAAAAAAGTAACTGAGTTGGCTTTGCCTTGAAAGACCTTTAAGTCAATTTGAATCAATATTTGGCTTAATATTAACAAGTTTGTGCAGGCTTACTCCCAAAGATTACGACAAATCAAAGGCTCTTTCAAGCTTATCTTTCTCAAAAGTTTCTTCAAGCCATCCTCAGTGCATTAAAGTGTGCAGTTAGATAATCCTCCTAGAGCAGCCTCCCAGAGCAGAGATGGAGCTTGGCTTTCTAATGCACTGGTTAATAAATAATTATTGGGAATTATTCCCAGCATGATGCTGTGTGGCATTCAGTGTGTGAACAGCCCTGGCTGTTCTGCCTGTGCTGGTGAGCTCCAAATGCCTGGAGCTACAAACCTCGGCTCCAGCCTGGCCTGGTAAAGGTCTCCTCTGCACAGACACCTCCTCCCTCCTTCCCTGCCAGCACCTCACTGCCATCCCAGACAGCTCTGGAAGCAAAGCCTTGGAGGGACAAACGGGAACAAAGGGAAG